GGGGGGGGGCGAGAGGGGCGCCGCCCCGTGGCCAAGGGGCCCCCAAGTATGTTTTCTGCTCCTGTATGGGCCTATTGCCCTGACCCAAATGCTAAACAGATGAAGTATTACATACTCTGTCCGCAAAAAATTGAGTGTAGATTGTTTTCCTCTGATTTCCTTCCTATGACTATTGAATTTAAGATCTGTTTGCTGCTACGATTGTGGCGGTTCGGTAACGCTGGAAATACTGCAAAGAGCCCAAGATAGTGCGGATGGATTGCCAAAAGCAGAATTATGTGCAGTTGCAGTGTGGTATATTTGGTGGTAGAGACGACAACTTGTTAAGGGAGAAAGTATAATGTCCCCGGATCGTACTGCTACTATTATCAAGGTACTGTGTACAAACTTCTTCCGAGCATCAAAACCTAATATACCATATAGAAAACGAGAGCATATGTGGAGGAAACCACCTAGAGGATGGGTGAAGGTCAATGTTGATGCCTCGTTCAGTGCTGAAACTATGTCATGTGCAGTGGGCGCGATTGCTCGAGATGACAGAGGAGAGTTCATTGCAGCCGCAGCGTGGTTCATACCACATGTAATCACTGCCGAATCAGCGGAAATACAAGCCATCAGGAACGGGGCTTGGCTAGCGCAACACATTGGCTGTAACTCTCTCATCTTGGAGTCAGATAACCTAAATGCTGTACAGGCTTTTGACCAACAAGAGACATACAATGGTAATGATGCAGTCGTGGTGATGGATGGCAAGCAGACTTGTACCGATTTTGCAGCAGTTTCCTACCTTCACTGCTTTAGGGAAGCGAACGAGGTTGCTGATCTTTTAGCAAAGCATTCTTCCCTTAGTAGATCCTCTCATCTTTGGGAAGATTCTACCCCTGACTTTATTTCTCATGCTATTATAAACGACTTGTCCATTATTTAAGAAATAAAGTTTATTTGCTGTAAAAAAAAGGATTCATGAATGGGTCAGTTATTGCCTGCGAATAATTAGGAGTTGTTGCCAAAGACGCTCCTGATTTCCTCCCTTATCCACCAGCCGAAAATAGTGCATCCAATTGTTCTGTCTTGAGATGTACGTCTGATTTTTGGACTAACTTGTAGCGTACAGCCAGGCCAAGTGGATCGAGGGAGATCACTGTGACGACGAGATTACAGTTGCAGCGAAGATAGGTATGCCTATGATCTCTGTGTATATAGCTAGGGTATGCCGTATCGGAGTTTATCAGGATGATTTATCAAAATGTATAAATGTTCATAGAAATTTCATCTGCATTGGTGCAACATTAGACATTATTTATGCAACGATGATATTGGGGGTTATAATATTTGTGAAAGAACTCTTCCGCGACCGGGTGTGGCGCGATCCCCTTCGCGCAGCCATACTCAGCTTCCGACACGCTCTATCTCTTTCCAAACCAGTCATAGTCTGGCCTTGTACAATGCTAGGTGCTTAGGAAAGTGCTTAAAAAATAAATCGGTTTTTCTGAAGCATCAGTGCTTATTTCTATAGGAGAGACGCCTAATTAAGCATCTGCATGTACAAATAAGCATCGGTGTTTAAGAAAAGTCTGGTTTATTTTTTCAAGCAACCCTCCTAAGCACCTTGCATTGTACAAGGCCTCAGTGTTTCCATGTATTCAAATGATGGCCCCACTATTCCATTGACCATGCAACTAACCCATACGTGCATGCACGTTTAATC